ACAAACTTAACCAAATAAATAAGTAAATAACAACAACAACAAAAACAAATAACCCAATTGACAAATGGGTTAAGGAACTAAACAGGCACTTCTCAGAAGAAAAAATATGAATGGTCAAAAAATATATGAAAAAATGTTCAACATCTCTAGCAATTAGAGAAACACAAATCAAAGCTACACTGAAAATCTATCTCACCCCAGTCAGAATGACAGAGGTTCATTTATACATTGTTGGTGGGACTGCAAATTGGTGCAAACACTCAGAAAGCAGTCTGGAGATTCCTTAGAAAACTTGGAATGGTTGTACATTCTGTGTCGAAGGAACTGCTGAGCTTGAGTCAACACTATAAATACAGAGATTTGATAAATTGTGGTATAAAGGTGTATTAAGAATTGTAATGCAAAAAATTATGAATGTATTGCACTCCACTATGTCATGTATGTAAGAAATAATAATAATAATAAAAAAGAAAACTTGGAATGGAACTACCATTTGATCTTGTTATTCCACTCCTTTCTTTACATCCAAAGGACTTAAAATCAGCATACTACAGTGACATAGCTACTTCAATGTTTATAGCAGCTCAATTCAAAATAGCTATGATACCAACCTAGGTGCCCTTGAAGACATGAATGGATGAAAAAATTGTGGTATATATACACAATAGAATATTACTTAGTCATAAAGAAGAATGAAATTATGGCATTTGCTTGTAAGTAAATGGAACTAAAGAATATCACGCTAAGTTAAATAAGTCAGTCACAAAGATCCAAAGGCAGAATGTTCTTTCTGATATGTGGATGATAAGTTACAACAAAGGAGGGGAAGATTCGAAATTCACTGGACTACACAAAGGGAAATGAAGGAAAGGGAGGGGGTGACTGCAATAGGAAAGACAGTAGAATGAATATGGAATATCATTCCTATCCTCATATATAAATAAATGACCAGTGTAACACTATATCATGTACAACCACAATAATAGTATCCTAATTGTAACAAGTTATACTTATTCTATGTATGTATAATATTTCAAAATATACTCTACTGTCATGTAAAAAATAATAATGATAAAAAAGAAAAAAACCTTTCTTTTTCATAAGGTTATAGCTGAAATCAAAGAACTCTAGAATTTCAGAAATGATGGGGACTTTAGAAATGATTTAATACAATTTTTTAGGAAAAAGTTCCAGAGAAGTTGTGACGTCCCTTCTGTCATACAATAAATTGGTAGTGGGGGTAGAACAAAAACCTGATTTTCTTTCTTTGAAAAACTGTGGAAAAATTTGGAAGCCTCTGATTGATTTCATGAATGAAATCATTCTGTTTCCTTTGGAGTTTTATTTAGTTAAATTAAGTTTGCCCTGTTTCTACATTTATTCAAGGAGTACTGATAACAACAGAGAAAATTCCTCAACATGAGAACCAGAATAAACGTGTGCAATCACAGTTCATCTATTTCATCAAGGAATAAAGGTCCAGTGAAGTTTTGAAACTTGCCATGATAAAGTATGAAAAAGTGTCTACCCATTCTGGATCATAGTCTCCTTTTCCAGCTTCCACTTTCCAGACTTTATTGCAATCTGAGACACATTATGCTGTTTTATAAGCATATAAAATAAAATTAAACGTTTAACTGAAAAAAAAGTAAGAAACAAACTACCCAGAACAATCTACAGATTCAATGTAATCCCTAACAAATGCCAATAGCATTTTTCTTAGAGATAGAAAAAATCTAAATTATTAAGGAACCATGAAGAACCAAAAAACCAAAGAAATCTTGAGAAAGAATAAAGTTAGAGGCATTCTACTTCTTGACTACAAATTATAGTACAAAGCTTCAATAATTAAGATAGTATGGCGCTGGCACAAACATATACACATAGACTAACAGAACAGAATAGAGTCTAGAAATAAACACACATCTTGTCACTAATCTGACAAGAATACCAAGAAGGAAAAGGATAGGCTTCAATAAATGGTGTTGAGAAAATTGAACATCTACATTTAACAGAATAAAACTGGAACCTTGTCTTAAACCATATGCAAAAATTATCTTGAAATTTACTAAAAACTTAGATGTAAGATCTGAAACCATAAAACTCCTAGAAGAAAACAGGGAAAAAGATCTTGATGCTGGTCTTAGCAATGAGTTTTTGAATATGTTCCCAGGAACACAGGAAAAAAAAGGTGCAAATAAACAAACAGGGGTGCACCAAAGCTACAAACCTTCTGCACAAAAAAGGAAGCAATCAATGAATTAAAAAAATAACATATGTAATAGGAGAAAATACTTGCAGATGTTAATAAGGTGTTAATATCCGAAACATATAAGGAACTCATATAACCCAAGAACAAAAAGCCTAAAAATTCTATTATAGAAAAAAAAAGGTGGAGGGACAAATGAGGCAAATAGATATCATTCTGTTGAAAAACAGAATGGCTAACAGACATGAAAAGGTGCTTACTTTCACTAATCATTGGGGAAATGCAAATCAAAATCACAATGAGGGCTGGGTTTGTGGCTCAGTGGTAGAGCACACGTCTAGCACATGAGAGGCCCTGGGTTCGATCCTCAACATCACATAAAAATAAATAAATAAAATAAAGGTATTGTATCCAACAACAACTAAAAAATAAATATTTTTTAGAAATCACAATGAGTCAACACCTCACATCTGTTAGAACGAATATTATTAAAACAACGAAAATATTGGCAAGGATGTGGAGAAAAGGAAACTGCTACACACTGCTGGTAGAAATGTAGTTGGGGAACCCATTATGGAAAATACACATGGAGAGCCTTAAGAAATTATATATAGAAAACATCATCATCATCATAGAAATTTTACTTTTGAATACATATCCAAAAGAAATGAGATCAATATCTCAAAGACATGTACACTTCTATGTTTATTACATCATTGATTAGAAAAGCCAAGATAAAGAAACAGTCTAAGTGACCCAAGATGGATGAAAAAAGAAACTGAAACACAATGGGAGATCTTTTAGCTTTACAAAAGAAGAAAATCTTGCCATTTGCAATAATATACATTGTGTTAAGAGAAATAAGCTGAAAACAACAAAACATAATTTCACTGACAGGTGCAATTTAAAAAAGCCAAATTCATAGAAGCAGAGTAAAATAATGGTTAAGAGGGGTGAAAATGGGGGATATGAGGAGATATTGCTTAAAGGATACAAAGTTTCATTTATGTAGAACAAGTTCTAGAGATCTAAAGTACAGAAGGGTGACTGTATTTGATAATATCGTATTAATAGACTTGAAATTTGCTGACTAGATATTAAATGTTCCCACTGCAAAAATATGTAATTATCTGAAGTGATGGATATCTGAGCTATCTTGATTCTAGCAATTATTTTATAATGTATATGTATATTTAAGTATCACATTGAACACCTCAAATATAAATCATTTTTATTAGAAATAAAATAGCATTGGGAAAAATTTACTAAATATTATGTTTTAAAAAAATTAAAAATCAATACTTATTTGATTCTGGTGTTATTTGACATTAATTGATAATATCAATATTTGGAGGAATGTAGTATAAGTTATGTCTATATTTCCTGTGTATAATCAAAGTGTTTTAAAGTATTAGCATTTCATTCATATCCAAAGAATGATTGTAAATTATTATATACCTAACAAGTACAGCTAAGAATTAATTACCTCATAAAAGAAGTACCCATGAATTATAGATATGAGGATGTGTGAGCACTATATACATGAGAAATTCATCTAGAAGACTCCAAAGCTGATAAATTTTTTTTCAACAAATTATTCTAATACTGATCTGGCCCCCTGGAAAATTCACTGAGGGTATAACAAAGCTATTCACCAGGGTATGCCAGGATATTTGGACCTGGCTAGTTTAGAGACATTAACTATCTTTTCTAATTGAATATAATAAGCATACAATATGTTCAACATACCTTTGAGGAGGGATACTTGTTGAAGACTCTGAAAATAGCTAATTCAGCTGCAACAGTCTTTCCTGATCCAGTGGGTGCTCCAAGTAGGACATTACAGTCTGTGTGATACAGTGTATGAAATATCTGTGTCTGCACAGGGTTAAAGTGGCTGAAGTTGTACAGGGCTTCATATGCTTTACATCCCAAAGCCGTAATTGGCAAAGGCTGAAGATCCAGTAATTCTGAAAAGATCCAACAGGTACTTCTATACAATAACTGAAAAAACATGCACAATACTGAATACTGTATTTTAAAGAATAACATTTCCTAATTATCTCAAGAGAAGAACATATTTAATATAAGTTCTTATATACCAGTGACACATCTTATTCAGTCACTACATTTAACATAACTGATAAACAGAACACTTTTATTGTAGAGTTCCCTAAAAACCAACTATATATTTCTCTTCCACAAAGGGAAATGACTTGAATAAAAGTACATGAAAGTATGTATGTTATGGTACAAAAATAAATCTGCTGTAATTTGTAAAACAATGAAAACCATTTGTAAACAGTAGTATTGGAAGATTACTTTTGATCTGCTAGATACTGACCAATCCCGAGTAGCTGAGTGAGCTTTTGGTACAGCCAATGGAAACAAAAATGAATTTAGCCTTATTCAGGAAGGAACAAGGATAGTAGTTTCAGAACACAGCATAACTGAGTAAAACAAAACGAAACAAAACAAAAAACTCTCCTTAAAGGGTACAGGTCTTCTTACTTTCACTAATCATTGCTGAAATTTATGTCTGTAAAGTAAATTTATGTATTGAAAGACACTAGATTTGGTTGCTTCTCATTATACCGACTGGGTGCCGAAGAAATTAGATAATTATTACAAAAGTTTAAAAAAGAAGACATAAAAAAATCAGTTAAAATGACACATTGATCTGACCTTTATAGTATGGTTGCAAAATGAAAAATATGATAAATTTTCTTCTAAAAAATGTACTTAAAAACAAAAACTAACTTAGTTGGGCATGGTGGCACAGGCCTGTAATTCCAGCAGCTCAGAGGCTGAGACAGAAAGATCCCAAGTTGAACGACAGCCTCAGCAACTTAGTGATATCCTATCTCTCAAAATAATAATAATAATAATAAAAAGACTGTGGATGTGCATCAGTGGTTAAGTGCCCTTTGGGTTCAATCCTGGGTACCTTGTCCCTAAAGGAAAAAAAAAAAAACCCAAAATAAAAAGATGACTTTAAAAAGTTATCTTTGCCCCACCCATTGCTCTATTCTATTACAAGGATAGCTGAGAGCTAACTTCATACTCTCTCTGTCATACTCTCTATGTCTGATTATAATTGTTTAAATTTTCCATAGCACTGGAAATCCAGGAAGGAGGGAGACATTCCAAGATAAGGCATGCAATGCTAATCAAACATATTTTTTAAAATAAAAGACTAAAAATTAAACATTGTACAATGTCAAATGCACAGTTATTGACAATGTTAAATTAAGATGATCTATTACAGTGATTTTACCTAGATGGTATGTTTATACTATATCAGCTAATTATATAAATAGGTTGATATGTATTTGGTTGCTTAACAAAGAAATTATTAAACTGGCATTAACAGATAATGCTAATATATGTAGAATTAAGTACTTTAATGAAAGAAAGAAACCTAGCAATGATATTGGAAGCATATATTTTAAGTTAAAACATCACTTCCACATATTTTGAACTTATGAGATTCTAGATATCACAAAAGCACATTTGATGAAATAAGACCAGAAAGACCCTCTGCAATAGTAGATTACTAGATAATACAGTCTCAATATCATTGTATTTTGATAAAATTTTTTGGTTTTGCTATGCCAAGATATCAAAGAGAAATTGAGATGTAGTATAAAGAATCTCTCAATGAATAATATGAATAAGGTGTACATTTGACAAAATGAAAGATTATAAAGTCATATTTAGGTCTCCTTTCACTTCTGAAAAGACTGTCAAATAGCATGCTATTTAAAGTAGTCAGAAAACATTTTTATTCTGAAAAGTCACACAGTTTGTCTGAAATATATGGGAAAGAAAATTTGACTCCTAATTTATGTCTGTAAAGTAAATTAAGGATCTCTGAAAATCAATACTCATCAATTATGAATTCTCAAGAAATGAAATTAGTACACTAATTAGTTTCAAGATGTTTTTGAAATAGATTTAAGGAGTACTTGAAAGTATCACTGCAAAGTCATGAAATTTTGCTTTTTTAAAAAAATCAAAATAGAAAGGCATTTGTTCATGTTATGAAAACCTAGAGTTTATACATTACAACAATAAAAAATGCTGCTGAATGCTCTTACTTTATATCCCTTTTAATAATTTGTTTTATATATATATATATATACGAACATTCCAAAATCTGAAAAAAAAATGTGAAATTTGAAACACTTTGGGTTTTAAACATTTTGGATAAAAGATAACCTGTACTAGAAATAAGTTTATGTAAATTGGAATAAATGTAAGAAAAAAGAGATATCTCAAAAGTTTCACAGAGAATACAGATTAAATGATAAATGACAATTTCAATGAAAAAGGAAGGCTATATGGAGAAATAATGATTATATGTACAGATGAAAGTCCAGTAACACAGAAATAGTAACTCTCATCATTACTATAATTATCAGAATTGACTAAGCCTACTTTAATGCTTTTGGAGCTTAAATAAACAAAAATTAAAGGTCCACAATTTGACTATCGACATATACATATTTGATTTTGAAAATTTTGAATACACAATTTAGAAACAATATTGTCAAGTAAGTTGGACTTTGATTCAGAATAAAACAACTTTATACTTGTCAACATTAATTAAAATAACAATTTTGGGAAGTCAATAATTCACATCAACACATTAATGTTCAAATTGTTACCTGTATGGGGCGGATGCCTCTCTGGTAGAATCAGATGTTGGAAGTTGATAATACAAACAGCCTCCGCTCCTAACCATCTATCAGAAACTGCTCGGATATAGTATTGGGAAGGCAAAGGTTCAAAAATAGGGATTGTAAATACCAGTAGTTGAGCTTCTTTACTAATGACCTAATGTGAAATAAAGTCTAAAATAAATAAAGTTCTTAGTAGTCAATTCTTAATAGTATCTATACAAGACATAATAAAAATAAACTATGTTAGATTTCTAAATAGCTCAGATATTCAGGTACTACAGTAACTTGTAGGCGATTTCCTTCTGAGGATTATTTGACATAACAGAAGTTAAGAATTTACACTAACTTTATATTATTTATATGTATGTTATCATTATGACATGTTACCACTTTGATTCATTATCAGAATTTCCCAAACATGATTCATTGAATTACTTCATGATTTCTATAATTTCAAGTACCATATCATTATTTACTTAATCTTTTTCTTTAAATCTGATCAGTATCTTAAGTGGAATATCTTAAATCTCTTAAAAATAAATAGGTTACATGGTTAACAAGAAGATAAATGCATGAAAACAAAATATTGCTATAAAATACTATTGCTATCCAGTCAAGACTTTCAATCAGAAGCTTGCTTTCTCTTTGATAAAAAGAGAAATTATAAATAAAACATGAGTTAAAGATGAAGCAACTATTGAGTCTTTACAGAGAATTTTACAAGGAATGGATCTTTTCACTAAGTGATTTATTATTTTCAGAAAATTATTTTTACCCCCCTTATTTTATATATTCCATGCCTCTAGAAGCCATGCCTTAAACCATGGTAAAGATTATAAATGAATTTCTTGAACTAGGATCAGACTGAATAATCAATATTGTCACACTGAATCTCTGTGTTTCTTTGAAACAAAACAGGAAAACAGAACATAACAAAACTTTCATTGCACTCTGTAATCATAGAGATAATAAAAAACAAAAATTGTTTATATATTTTTTTATGATATCTAAATAATAAGGTTATATTCACCTGTTTTTTAAGAGCTAGAAAATACTCTGAATGATAAATATGATCATTTGTAGGATCTTCCACCCAAATCCACCAGGGTTCTCCTACTGTCCCATGGACCTAGAAGAAAAATTATCCTAGTACTATGAAAGTCATAACTCAAGTTACAGTACTGTTTACATATCAGCACCTATTAGTCTAACAACTTTTTTGATATATAATTTATAAAACAAAGTTCACTCATTTAAAGTATACAGAGTTCAATGGTTTTAACATATTTACAAAGTTGTACAACTATGAACATAATCTAATTTTAGAACATTTTTAATCACCTCCAAGAGAGTACTTATATTCATTAGAAGTATAGATTTGGCTATACTAAACACTTTGTTAAATGGAATGATATAACATATGGTCTTCTGTGACTGGCTTTTTAAACTTACCATAATATTTTTATAGTTCACCCATGTTTTAAACTGCATCAGTACTTTGATTCGTTTTATTGTCAAATAATATTCCACTGGACACATATAAAATATTTTGTTTATATAAGCCAATCTCTTTTTTCCTTATATACTCCAATAATGTTCAGTATTCACTTATCCCTCAGGGACTCATGAAAAGAATATCACATCCCAATCATTTCTCCTCTAAATCTTCTTGTACTGTCTCACATGAGCTTTTGGGGGATACCACATTTAAGCCATAACACCTGGGATAATTTTGATTCACATACAGCCAATCAGCTCATGGCCTTCTCCTGACAATATCTATAGTAAAGGAGAAGTCCATAACAAACACTTGGCCTAATTAGACTGGGGGGAGGGGTGTGTGTATGTGTGGCAAAGAGGGCTTACAGTTTATATTGTGGGCTGAGGAAGTGGGTATGTGTTCCCCTTACTTCATTAAAAGTGAGAAAGAAGCAGAAAAACATTTGAGAAGTATCCAACAGTGTGAGTAGAGCAAAGAAGTGAAAAGATCTTGGGCCTTGAACAATACTGTTAACCTCAAGACTGAACCATCCTTAGGGCCTATCTGATCTGTGGACCTTTTATTGTACAAAAGGATATATTACCTTACGTAAATCAGATTGAGGCAAGTTAGGTTTTACATTCTTGAAGCTAATAGCATTATAAGAGAGTTAATTATAAAAACAATTAAGTACTTTCTCCTATTAATTAATAAAACTAAATTATGATTTATTATGAATAGCAATAGTAGAAAACCATGTGAAAAAATAATGAAACTTCCATTCCTTTAAAAACAATCAAAAATTTCAAATGAGCTTATACTTAAATATAATTTTATATTTTATATAAAATTTCATATTTATAAAAATATTAACTGTAATTTGGTGTTATCAACTAGTGCTCATATACTGTGA